GGTCATGTGCTTGAGGCCCCAAATTCCTTCCTGGGAGATCTCTGGGACCTCTTCAAAGTTTTGGAAGATGACAATAGAGTGCTCTTATCCCAGGAAACACAGAGGGACCCTTTTCTCCAAGGATTGTCTTGGCAGAATGAGGCACAATATCTTTAAACTTTCTGGGACAAGGGAGCTCTGAGCTCTGGGTACAGAGGGAGCTCCAAGTGCCAACCACTGGAGTGGGAGCTACAAATCATCAGGGCTTGTGTTCTTTGGAGGACCAGACACTGGTGAGAGTGGTGTGTGTGTGCACATGTAAGGACTTGAAGGGCACAATGAACTGTCTCAAAACACTGTCAAAGAAAGAAAATCCCATAAGGCACCACAACATATAAGCACTGTTGACAAACAGGAAGGCATTTAATTCCAAGGCCTAAAGGGAGGTGTAGCTTTGGAAGAAGCACCCTGGACAGAATTGCACTGTGCAGACTGTGGGAAAGAGCAGACAGCCCCAACAGGAAGCCAGGGCTGGTAAGGCAGGTCTGGGGAACCCATCCAGGCAAAGATTCCCACCTGCAGACTGGAAGCACACCGGGCAAAACTCCCACCACGGCAAGCTGTGGGAAAGGACGCAAGTCCTTGTACATGTGCCAGCCCAAGCTGTGGGAACAGCATGTTGCCTGCTCAGTTGGGGCTAAGAAAAAATCCAGGAGCCGTTAATTAGGGTGAGATAAGGAAAGGGTTTAATCGTGCCAAGGCAATTGATGGTGTACGACACGTGCAGGCTGTGCCTGAGATGTTACATTTATAACCATATCTGTCCAATCCCAAGTGTGTCCACCCCGTAACTTTTGGCCTGGTCCACCCCCTGGCCCACCCTCTGAATTGGGTCTGGGGTGCATTTTGGGACCCTCTCTTCATCATCCTTCATCATCTTCGGGGTACAGAGTCACCCAGTTCTTTGACTCTGTCCTGCTGTTTAGGCCAAGATACAAGCGTTCCCCAAACAGAACAGGCCTTGCCTTGACAAGAGACAAAACATCTTCTACTGGATACGGGGATAGGGCTGATATGGGGAGTATGGAATGGGGTAAGAGGGTTAAGGAATGTATAAACTAAGGGGTGCTACGGGGAAGAGGGAGAAAGGGTTGCTTCTAAAAACTACTTCTAAAAACTACTATTACCTATAAAACTCATAAGGTAGAAAAATAGGAAAACCATTAGGGGCTTAAGGCATCAATGTGGTGAGACGAGCTTTTGTCCCAGCAATGGCAGTGCACAGGAGAGAGACCTTTGCTTGGAGCTGAAGGGCTGAGAGAGGTGAGAGGAGACCCCCCCTTGTGTGGAATGGAAAGAGATCCAGCTCCAACTTCAGCTAGGACTGCTGCATGGAAGAAGAGAGACTGCTGCCCTGAGAGTGGAAAGGATCTTTCCTTTTTCCCTTCTGGACTTTTCTTGGAGGGAGAAGAGATTGGATCCATTGTAAATCCTGGTTGATCACAGGAGAGAGAGTTAGGATTGTGTCTAGAATGTATTCTAATATTTCTTTGTGTCCTAATTGTAATCGAATTCCCTTCCCCCCATCTTGAGTCTTGTGTTGTGTCTGGAAAAGCCCTCTCCCACTGGGGTGAGTTGTGGCAGGGGGCTTGGACTAAAGAATTGGATGTTTAGGGGTCTCAAGCCACCCCAGGGGGCTATTCCGGAACGGAGAGGATAGGCCGGAATGGGTAGGATAACAAACTGGCCCAAAGCACATGGCTTGGTCTGCACTGTGCTGGTGTGGGGTGTTGGTTCTTTGGTCACCAGGGGCTATTCCGGAATGGAGACGATAGTCCGTGACATCACAAAGGGGTCCATGGCACACAGGTGGGGCTTCACTTTGGGGTTGTAGGACGTTGGTTCTTTGGTTGCCGAGGCCCATTCCGGAATGGAGAGGATAGGCCGTGACATCACCAAGGGGTCCATGACACATGGGTGGGGCTGCATTTCAGGGTGGTGAGGCGTTGGCTGTTTGGTTGCCAGGGGCTATTCCGGAATGGAGAGGATAGGCCGTGACATCACAGAGGCGCCCATGGAACACGGGTGGGGCTGCACTGTGGGGTGTGAGGTGTTGGTTCTTTGGTCACCAGGGGCTATTCCGGACTGGAGAGGATAGGCTGTGACATCCCAAAGGAGCCTTTGGCACACGGATGGGGTTGAACTGTCCCATGGTGGGGGCTTGGTTCTTTGGTTTCCGGGGGTGTGGTGGGGAAAAAAGGTGTTTTTTCCCCCTGGAGTTCAAAAAATGGTAATCCCTGAGGGGGTGGTGTCTCTCCTGATGTTGACCCAATCAGCGCCCCTGCCAAATTCAAACTTATCACACCAGAGCAGAAAAGAAGGGGGATGAGGGAGTTGGAGAAGAAGTGGCCATGTTCTGAGAGCATGAGGGGAGAAGGGGCAGGAGCCCTGCTGGGGACCACGCCCCCTCAGCCCCCCGGCTGGGGTCCTAGAAACTCGGAAACAGTGTTCAACTGGACCCAGGTCTGGGACTGAGAAAGCTGGGCATTTTTTTCCACTGTGAGCGGGCAGCAGAAGACGGAAAGGCGGCGGTAGTGAAGCCAGGTAAAACCTGGAATGCGAATTTAGTAGAGCAATACAGGAATTAGAAAGTTAAATACAAAATGCAGGCTTTAAGTAAAATCATAGAGAACTTAGTATTAAGAAACAGCGGAGATAATAAATTCACTAGAATACAGGACACTCTGACATGAAAGAACATAAAGCATGGACAGAAAGAACTAAAAATGCTAGCATACACAAAAAAGGACATATAGAAGAGAAACAAAGGGAGATAAGAAAAGGGACGAGCCAAGAAATCAGGTACTCTTGCCAGACATTGGAAATCCCTGCCAAATGCACAAGGAAACTATCCGAATTAGGGAAGGTTCAAAAGTTTATGAAGATGATGATGGAAGGACACTGAGTTCATGAAGATGAAGAACCGGAACGACCCCTGAAATTCTCCCCAAATTGGAGACCACACCTCTACCTCTGCCTCAACTCTGCCTGTTATGAATATTAAAAGTAGATGTTGCAATATAATGAATATTCATAATGTGTGATGCAATTGCTTGACAAAAAGTGTATAAAAATCTCAGTTGTAAGTTACTGTAGTGGAGCAGCTCTTCCAGGGCGACCTGGGCTGCTCCCCGGCCGTAAATAAATAAATACCTCCTGCTTATAGACTGAAAATTCGTCTCTGAGCAGTTTCTCCACGCCTTCTTTGGGGCACAAATTGGCATCAACTGCTCGCGTGTGAACAGTTCGAAAGGTTTAGTTAAATCTGGTAATCCTAGTGCTGGAGCTGACATCAAGGACTGTTTCAGTTGTTTAAACACATCTCTGGTCTCATGTGTCCACGTTACAAATTGCAGGACAACTCCTTCTTGCCGCTGTCTTCTCCAGTCCTCAAGTTCTTTTGCCAGCTGGTTCCCAAAAACTGTTGGACTGTTCTTAAAGCCTTGTGGAAGAACTCTCCGGGTTAGTTGCGTTTTCCTCCCTGTCTCAGGATTTTCCCACTCAAAGGCAAAAATCTCTTGGCTGTCTTCGTGTACAGGAATGCAGAAAAAGGCATCTTTAAGATCAAGTACAGTGAACCATCCTAAATCCTCTGTCAATGTGGTTAACAGTGTATAGGGGTTGGCTACCACCGGGTAGATGTCCTCAGTTATTTTATTGATGGCCCTAAGAGCAGCTGCCTCAATATATTTAGTGTCTGGAATTATAACTTTTTTTTCTCCACCCCTGCAGAATTTAATTTCAGCTTCTAATTTTTTCCTTATGTCATCTGTGGACTGTCCCTACAAATAAGTACACCAGGTTTTTCTTTCCCAGATCTGACTCTATGTCCATGTCAGTATATTTCCTGATGACATCCTTCAACCCGTTCAGAAAATCTGTGGGTGATTCATTTGTATCTTGTCCAACCTCACACATTTTGGACCACTTTATCGCTTTCGGAACCCCACGCTGGAATCCATAAATTACCCAGTCTTGATAACGTTTCAGTGCTTCCAGATTTGCTGCCACGTTAGGATCCCATTTGAGATCGTCAAAGTTTTCCAGTGTTTCAAAACCAAACTCAGGGGGAGATTCCTTAGGAATCTTAAAACTTTGAATCCACACAACCCACGACAACAACACACAAACAAAACACACACTAGGATTTGAACTCGTTACCTTAAGATTACAAAAGTGTTACTGTAACCTCTCAACTACCAGGCCTGCCTTGACAAGAGACTAAACATTTCTACTGAATTCAGGGGTAGAATCGATATGGGAAGCATGGAATGGGGTAAGAGGGTTGAGGAATGTGCAAACTACTTGTGCTAAAGGGTGAGGAATATAATATAGATACTTCTAAAATCTACTTCTACTATAATTATATATAAAGCTTATAAAAATTAGAAAAATAAAAAAAACCTAAAAGGGTCTTAAGGCATCAGATTATGCCAACACATTCAGTTTAGAGGAATTACAGAGGTGTGACTGAACCACTTTTGCCCCAAGGTTTTAATGATGGCAAATCAGATCTATTGATAGAAATGAATTTATTTAGGGTTACAAATGATCAGACAAAAGATCTTCATCAGAATTATTTACTGCACAATACAAACACTAAAAGTACCAGGAGTACAGGATAAGATAGGACAGTGCTCTACACTAAAGCAATTGTTGAAGCAATTCTACTCAAGCTGGCACAAAAGCAAGAATTCTTAATTAGAGATGGATGGAACTCCCCCAGACCAACGCTGGTGGGGAGATCTCTGCTCTCAACCTCCAGCAGTGACCTTGGGGGTTCACCAGCCAAGGCAGGAATCTCCACACACACCCCCAAGAAGGGTTCTGTTGGAAGAACCTGCCCCTGGGAAAGGGGACTGGCCCTTTCTGGTCGAAAGGGATGGACTGACAGTCACTGGACTCCAGGGGTTGCCTCACCATCAGGGGCTTCATTTGGGGTGGAAGCAGCGGCTGAAGCTCTTCCCGCAGTCGGGGCACTGGTAGGGCTTCTCTTACTGGTGGGTCTGTTGGTGTCTGGTCAAGGCACCGCTCTGGGTGAAGCTCTTCCCACACTCCCCACACTTGTAGGGCCTCTCCCCGGTGTGGATGCGCCGGTGGGTGACAAGATGGGAGTTCAGGTTGAAGCTCTTCCCGCAGTCGGTGCAGCGGAAGGGCCTCTCATCCGTGTGCGTCCGCTCATGCCTGAGGAGATGTGAGCTGGTCTGAAACCTCTTCCCACATTCCAAGCACTTGTAGGGCCGTTCCCCAGTGTGAATGCGCTGGTGTTTGCGGAGTGTGGAGCTGTCACTGAAGCTCTTCTCACATTCCCTACATGTGTAGGGACATTCCCCAGTGTGGATGCGCTGGTGGATGTGGAGGTGATAGCTCTGGCTGAAGCTCTTCCCACATTCCCTACATGTGTAGGGTCGCTCCCCACTGTGGGTCTGCTGGTGGGTGGAGAGGTGATATCTCTGGCTGAAGCTCTTCCCACATTCTCCACACATGTAGGGACGTGCCCCAGTGTGGATGTGCTGGTGTCAAGTCAGGTGGGAGATGCTACTGAAGCTCTTCCCACATTCCAAGCACCTGAAGGGCTTCTGCCTGCTGGGAGGCTGCTCAGGGACCACCAGGTCACAGCTCCCCCTCAAGCTCTGGCCGCCTTCCTGGCACATGCTGGGTCTTTCCTCCTCAGAGCACCCTGGGCTGGATTTGGAGCCCCTCCTGCACGGGGATCTCTGGACCTTTTCCTCCCCGCTGCCTTCCTGTGCCATGGAGCCCTTCAAAACGTCCTCTCCCACCAGGGTCTCACAGGGGGATTTGTCCTCCGGGCTCTCCGTCCTCAGCTCGGGGCCTGGGGCAGGAAGCAAGAAGGACAGGGAGGGGATTTGCCTCCGGCCCACAGGGAAGGCCAAGGACATCCCCCCAACTCCGGCCCCGGCAGGACGGCGGCGGCAGCGGGGTTGTCCTGCAGCCGGGGGCCATGCTGGGCTGCCAGAGCCAGCACAACACCCGCCCAAAGGGCCACTGACTTCCTCCTCACCTGCCTGGGGGGCCCAAGGCATCTTCCTCTTCCTCGCAGCCTCCTCCTCCATCCGCCCAAGCTTTGGGAAGGACAAATCCT